TATATATATATAATATATATATATATATATATATATATATATATATATATATACTTTTAAACAATTAAATGTAAAAATAGAAATTTTAATCTCTCTCACCAATGGTGGTTTCGCAGACATTTCATCGGCCACCTCGGAAGCCAAGTTAGCACCCATCAAAACTGAAATTGGAATTTGTAATTGTTTCGAAATAATATGGGAGATAAGCTCGATACCGCCGCCTTCCTTCTTATCGAAACCCTGTAAGAGATATTCCAAGTACGTTCGATTGTAAATCATCAATGGATAAACGTCTAGATAAACGTCGCACGTGACATTCTCAAAAGTACAAGGGAAAGATCTACCTTGATCAGTGACAATCCGATGGCGGTAGGTTTAATTTTACCCTGTAATGTGCTGCATATCCTTTGAATGAACTGATGCGGAACCACAAATATGAGTATGTCCGCATTCTTCGCAGCTTGCACTACGTCCGGGATCGCAACCTGGAACGAATCAACGTTTCGGAAATGATTAAATTCGGACGTTAAAGCGAATAAGTATCTTTACAAAAAATGAGAAGAAAAAAATCGCTTTGGGTTTGAAAAAAAATGCTGTAAACTAGTATATCTTAGAACTAGTATATCTTTAGAAAAATATCTGAAAATATTAAAAAAAAATCCCTAAATATCGACGAAATATATCCTATATAAATATATTATACTACAATCGGAAGGACGGATGGTGCCGAGATATGTATGTATAATGTAGAAAAGTTGCAATATTCATCGGCGAGATATTCTTGATATTATCGACTCACTTTAATCCGACGAAGGGCAAAAACAGACAGATAGAAAATATTGCAACCTTGAACACCGCTTGACATGCAATCGTACAATACAAAAAATAGCAAAAAATTTAACGATTATTACCATTTCCATTTGTTTCACTCTTTCTTAGATGATCTCGAATGAAATCTTTTTACCGTAAATTCTTTAGATGATTTGAAATAAATCCGAGAGTTGAGAATATTTGTAGTACATAAGTCCGAATAATTAACAATTGAAAATAAGCAAGTTTCGGGAACATTTATATAAAATATATAAAATCGACTACTATCGGAATAGATACAAGCGAGTGAGGAGCGTGCGTCGCTCCTGAGCACCATAGATAAGATAAACTTCGTTCGTTAATTTAACTTGTTTTCTTACAAAAATTACTTATCGAATGCAAAGGAAAAAGTTGTTTTGTGTAAAATAAAGAATCACGTTTTGTACTTGATATGCGGGAATTTCAAGATATTTCGTATATATTTTTAGATAACTCAAATTATTATTTATTCTGTATAGATAAAGAGAGAATCTTTCCATTTACAACTTCATAAAATAAAATCGTTTCGAATACTCATTTGAGATCATCGTGATTATAATGAATGATTTTTGTAGGTAAATTATAGGTATCTTGTAGGTATTTTTGAATATTGATACTTTTGAATTATAAAAAAATATTATAAAAATGTGAATATTTAGAACCTAATATTTCTAATTCTTTTATATCCTACATATGTTTTTTTATTTTTTCTAAGAAACTTCATAGATCTTTGCTCTGCAATTCTCCCTCGGCTTTTCTTCTTTTTTAAACTAGACTTCTGGAATTCTTTTGATTTCCTTGGAAATATGCGATGTGAAAGCTGTGCATAGTTAATGACAAACCGGTTTAAAGTGACAGATTTGATCTTTATTTTCAAAGAATTTCGAAAGAAAGTAATCAAGTCTAATATAACTGAAATAAAAAGTGACGCAATGATACAACATATAATGTTAAATGTTTTGAAATAAAAAAAGCATTAATGTAATTTTGTTTTGAGTTAAATCTTCAAGTTAAATCTTTAGTTTTTATTATTTATTCTTATCACATTGCCGTTGTTTTCGTTCAAATACACATACTTGTATACGTATCTTCAAGCCTAAGATTAAAAATTTAATTTAATGATATTATTTAAATAATTATATTAAATATTAATTTAGATAAATTATTGATATTAAATAAAATAAAATAAAATTATTGCTTAATAAAATTTTTCAGAATCTCATAAAGTTCTTGGATATCTCCAAATTTATAGTAATTTCATTGATTGCAATCAATTGAGAAACAGCAGAGAAACTGGTTCCAGATTAATCAGAAATAAAAATGTTATTTAAATTGCTAGTTCTTTTATCGCCTTTCTTTTAACATATTCTGTTTTAACAAAATGCGTCTATACAGACATGTTTTCAGGAAATGAATATTTCATGAAAATATGTTATTTTTAGCTAGCTTTATAGCAGTAATTCTTGTAGAGAGGGAAAGCAGCGAGAGATTATCGTATATAAGGAATATATTCCAAGGGCACAATTTTATAAAGTCCTACAATAAATCAAACAACTTATTCTTATTAAGTTATTTTGATGAAAAATAATGAAATAATGATTTAAAAAAAAATAGATAGACAATAAAACGGAAATACATAGAAAACAAAGTACATAATATTATTGATGAGATGACGAAAAAAGTCGAAGGTTGCAGCTATAGAGACAGAAGATGAGATATTGAGATACGCAACAAATCAACATGGCTATCTTGATTGCGATCAGAGTACGTCGACTAAAGTTCAGTTGACCATGTACGTTAGTGTTCCCAGTATGATAATGATTAACCAGACTCGATCTTTCTTATCTGTATCCTCTTTCATTCAGTGCTTCTCATTCACACGCCAAAAATTTGAAACAAAAGACTCCAAGTCACATAAATACCAATTCATAGCGACCTTAAAACCTCTAAAAAATCCTTTCTCAAAATTATGAAAATATTATATTATAAAAAAGAGTCCCAAAGTCTCAAAAAAGTCTCAAAAAAAAATTGAGATGCGATTTTGAAATAACACAATATCTTTAAAATGTACAGACTCAGAAATACTCAGAATTACTCGGAAAATATTATGGTTGCCACAGAAAATGAATTCTGAATGAATTCTCTGGCTCCCATATTTTACAAACAGTGGAAAATTTTTCATAATCAATAATATTAAACTTTAAACATTTAGAAATAGGGATACAAGAAAGGTAACTTATATTATTAGATGATAAATATTATTAGATGATACAACTTTAGAAATCTAATAATATAATACAATCCTAAATGCAAATTTTAAATCAACAAAAATAAGTAAGTACAGAAAAAAGATGCAAATATGCAAAAATGACAAAAAAAAGAGATTAAATAAAAACGCTAAAAAAATAAGCATTTTTTAGAAGAGAGAGAACTTAAAAAGAATTGTGAACAAGACTTCTAGACTTTTTTATATTTTTTCCCTGCCTTTTCTGGCCAATTTAAATTTCCATAACTTTGTCCAGACTTGTGACAACCATGACAATTTAACGCTCCGAAGAGCATATTTCTTTACTAAATCAATTTCCATTAACATTTATATTTATATGTTTTTTTAAATAGTTAATAAATCTGAACATAAATTTTTTAAAAATTTAAAATAGCGAATCCAATATATGTGAATAAATTTTGTATGTTGGTGATAATTTTTATTTAAATCATATTTTATATGTGTGTTATATGTGTTTTATATGTGTTTTTTGGATCGCTGATTACACTATCTTGACAAAGATCAGTTCATCCATGTGGTGTATCCTGGATAATGCTAAAGTAGTCTGCAACTTTTTGATTTCAATTATGTTATACAACTCATAAAGACTATTTCTTCTTTCAATTTTAAAAAAAGTTCGAAAGCAAAGCAATTTGAAATTTTAACATAAAAATGAAGATAACTCGAAAATAACGCATTTCCAGACCTATGTTCATACCGACTTTTTTTTATTTTTGTATTTTTTGTATTTTTATTTTTGAATATCCAATTACCTTTCTAACTCCACTTTTGAAGCATTTTATATATATATATATATATATGTATATGTATATATAACACTGCCCATGTGATTAGTTATGATTAAAATATCATCTTACCACATTCTCGGGAATTTTGTGTCCCGGAAGGTACTTGACATTTTCATGCGTCTCGTTGATGATCTCCGTCAATTTTTTCCCGTCGATAATCTCTTCGTAAACGTACATGGTGACCCGGTCGGCAAAGCGGCTCTGTTTTTTCGCATTCGCGCCGACTATTTTCGCAATGGCCGAGCCCCTGAAAGTTTACAATTGCATAAATTAGTATTCTAACTCGGAGAACAGTTACGAGATAAGTAAAATCGATGTCCTTTTACATATCAGTTAATCACTTGAAGCAATTTTCGTCTCTCTTATTTGCCGTCTCTCTACATTTCCTACAGCTCGTTTACGATTTTCCTCCAAAATTATAATAGTACTCATACAGCACAGATCTGGCAGGTATATTGCACCAATATTGCTCCAATATTGTAATATTGCAGCAATATCGCCGCAATATAGTTGCAAAGTTTGTGTCCTAGGTAATTAATGCGTAGATAATTAATTTTCTTTTCTCTTGACATTCGAGCGAAACCAGCTGGACAATCGCTCCGAGACCGGATTCTTTCGCTCGACACGTGCTGAATCGTCGAAATATCGCAGAATGCGATGCGAAATCGTGCGATGCGTAACAACAACGCAAATAATTTCCGTTAGGACAGTGTTCGAAGGCGGCAGCCTGAGATCGGAGCACGCGCGCGATAAAGTAAGTATACGCCAACATCCGCATGTGCATGAAAGGCACGTGCGAATCGATCGCCGCGCTCGTCGACGTTTCCTCCTGATGGTGCTGCTTGAATCTGCCGTTGTATTTACTGCCACCTCGAGAAGCGATTATCTATCTCACCCCCAAACTCACCAATTGCCGGAGCCGATGATGCACACGGATGCCATTGCTTCTTTGAGAATATATTTCGACGC